ACAGCTCCCAGCATGAAAAAAGCAGAACCTTCCATTTGCCTCCTGCAAGAAGCTGTAAGGCTCAGACACAGGCACAGATAAGAGAAAGAACAGTCAGAAGCGGAGAACGGCAGATCACGACAAGGTGTTGTAGGGCACCTTGGGTTAACAAGAGGGCTAAAGGAACAGGATCTAAAAAAACTGTTGGGATTCAACTGTATAGCCAAGGTATTTCTGATAATAAAGCAATGAAAAGAATTGCTAGGTTTCATCAAAGCTGCTGCTGGTGGTAGTTCTGCTGCTGCTGCCGCCACCACTGCTTATTAGAGACATCACTGGTTTCTAGCTCTCAGGAATGCAAAAATGCCCAAATAAATATCTAATAAGGAACTGCCAGGGTCATACTGGGACTACCTGTTGTGGCATGAACGATCCATTTCTCCCTCCTTTCAGCCTTCAGCCTGTAAAATCAAAGAGCTGGAGGTGTCCTTGAGATCACCCAGTTCAACTCCATGCTCTTGGGCAGGGATGCTGTAGCTGCAACCTGCAAGATGGTTGTCTGGCCTCGGCTTAAGTACCTCCAGTAAAGAAGAGCCCACCACCTCCTGAGGCAGACTGTTCAACTGCTGAGGAACTTTCACGGTCAGGTGTTTTGACAAAATCTCCTCCCCTGAGAAAGGAGGGAAGGAGTCCCCCTGTCTTCAGCAACCAAGAACAAACTGCAAATTCTGCATGACTGTTGTGCAGCTACTTGAAGACGGTGCTCATCTTCCCTCCCAGTCTCCTCTTCTGCAGACTAAGGGTGCTCCACCATTCAACTTTTTAACAAAGCACTTAGCAGCTGCATCACACTGCTTGGTGACAGTCAACTTATGAACCACAAAGACACTTGGCTTCTTTTCACACCTACTGCGGTCATGTGAGGTATCACCTAACCTACACCGGTGGCTTTACTTTTTTTTTTTTTGCAAAGACTTTACATTTATTCCTGTTGAATCTCATCTTGATAGTTTTAACCCAGTATTCCAGCTTGCCTCAATTATTGTCAATTACGATCCCATACCTAGCTTCATAGCTAAATAAGTAACCCCACCACACCTTCATTCAGGATTATTGATGCAGATGTTGAACAGCACAGGCACTAAAACAGAAGCCAAGGGCACTGCACTCAAGCCTTCCATCCACAAAGCAAAGCAAAGCCAAAAAAAAAAAAAAAAACAATATATGCTGCTTATACTGTATACCACCCCACAGTGCTTAAAGCACTCTCTGGGCAGTTTACAATTTAATTGTGTGGGCTACATATTGCCCTCATGACACACAGTGAGCAGGGTACTCATTTTACCAACCTTGGAAGGATGGAAGGCTGAGTCAACCTTGAGCCAGCTACTGGAATCCAGTGGGATGGAATGCAGATTGTGAAGACAGTTCTTAATTGCAGTACTGCAGTTCAACCACTGTGACACAAAGCTCCTAAGTAACTGATGCTAACTGATGCCTAAGGATGCTAAGTGACTGATAACCACTTACTGTATTAAATAGGCTCATTCAATCAGATGTGGCTCTAACTTCACTGTAATAGCATCTAGCCCATATTTTACCATCTTGTCAACAAGTATTTATTTAAAATAGTTTTATCCCGTCTTTCTCCTTAAAAGGGACCCAAGGCAGCTTACATAATTAAAATACAATATTTGAAAACTAAAAACAGTATCTATACAAATATTTAAAAAGAATCAAATATCACACTAAAAATCATTTAGCATAAAAAAAGGCACAGCACTCCACTTAAAACCCCTCTCAGACAACCAGTCATTAAGGGAAAGCCTTCACTTACAAAAGGACAGCAATGATGGGGCCAACCGGGCCTCCTGTGGGAGGGGGTTCTAGAGCCTTGGCGCAGCAACAGAGAAGCCCCTCTCCCATGTCCCCACCAAACACACTTGTGAAGGTGGTGGGACCAAGAGAAAGACCTCCCCGAATGATCTTAACACTCCAGCAGGCTCATAAAGGGAGACACAGGCCTTGAGATAGCTTGGACGTAGGCCATTCAGCATCTCCCACTCTCTCAGACAAAATGTCTAATTGGAGAAGAAGAAAAATGTTTTCCCAAGGTGCACAAAGATGCATTATCTTGTGAAGCCATTTCCTGCCTGGCATAGTTTATGTCACGGTAGAATGCAAGCAGGCACAAAGATCCTAAGGATACTGGTTAGGATTGGCCATTGTAAACTGAAGAAACTTCCCGAGGTGCGGTAGAAGTCTGATATTGTTCTTAGACATTGGCCCAAAAGATCTGGAGCTCTGGAGCTCATTTTTCAAGGTTATCATTTGCCTACTTTTTTCCAAGAGAGCCGGTATGTTTCTTCCTCCACTAGTCCTCGCCTCCATGCATGCCTCCTTCCCCCCACAGCTGCAGCTTCCACTCCTCTCTCTTCTATTCTGCCTCTGCAGCTTGCTTCAGCTCTCTTGTTTATTGTCTAGGACTGCGCACAAAGTTGGTGAGCTGGGGAGTCGAGGCCCAAAATTACAACCAAAGGCAGGAGGCTGAACAGATCAAGAAGACCTGGTGAGCATCAACGGATCAATCTGAAAGACAGATATTAGCTCAGTACATTTTCTGTGGCTCTCTATCCTTGTAACTAAGCGGGGGGGGGGCAGTTTACTGGTGATACATTCAGGATGAGCCAGTCCATACATCTCTTCTTTGCATTCTAAGTCTGTAATGCTGTCTTTCTGCAGAAGCACCTGTCAGAAATGTAGATACTATCTTGGGTGGGGAATTAAGACCCCTGAGATAGGGGACAGGGCCTATGACTCTGAAGCAAAGCATATGCTTGCATTCATAAGCTTCCATCTCCAGGTAGGCTGAGGGGGAAAATCCTGTCTCCATCCCTTATGTGCCACTGCCAGTTAGTGTCAGCCACACAGAACTGGAGTGGCAAATGGGCTGATTCAGTATAAGACAGCTTTCTATGTCCCCATGTTGCTGAGAATCTCAGCTTTCCTTTCAAGCAGAGTCCATCTGGTTAGCCAGAAGACCATAACAAATCTTTACAATGTGTTTATGGCTCTAAAGATATGCTTGAAATGGACAATCAAACTACCTAGTGAAATCTCAAATAATAATAAGAAGGAGGAGGAGGAGGAGGAGGAGGAGGAGGAGGCAGGGGAGAGGAAAAAGACATGTCATATGAAGTGCATCAAAATACGAACAAACTGAGATAGCTCATTTCCCTAAAAGCTTCTGCCTGGAGATATGAATTCAACACAAGGAAGCCCTAGGAGGAGAGACATCTTAGAGCTAAAAAGCAGAATTCACGTTCCATCAGCCCACATTTTCACACCAACTGGGTGAGCAAGTCAGCCATCTCACCCCACCAGGCAATGTGGCTCTTTCACACATCAACCCACCCCAACACAGACCACAGGAATGATACAACCAGGATGCCAGCAATACAGGACAGCCGGGAAGAGGTTACACAAGTGAGCGAGCCACATATGGAAGCGGTGGTACTGGAGGCAGTGGGGAAGACTGGACACAAAGAAGAGGGAGCTATGGAAGGGAGTGTTGTCCCTCTTGGCTGAACTAATCTGAGCAGTCTGACACAAACGGATTTTTTTTTTCAGAAAGCAAAAAACTCTTCCCAACATCATCATCAAATGCCTTAAAAGAACTCTCAAGATTGAAAAAACTAAACAAAATTCTTCCTGTCCATCAAGAGCGTGATAATGGAGACCCCAGGACACAACAGGAACTCCTCCTTATTCTAAATGAGCACATTTCAAGCCCATTATACATGACCTCCCAAGCCCTTCTTGTGTTTCTTGCAGATTTCTAAATTTCCCAAAAGCACAGGGCTAAGTTATGGAAGCAACAGAAATCCTTGCCACCCCAGCTAGCTTTTCTTGCAGCATACAAGTGCTCTGATAAGCGGATTTCCTGCAGAAAGACGGCCTCTTAATTGACCATCATTACTTGTGCAGTCTACAGCGTGAATAACCTCCACACAGTGCTTTTGGAACAGAACCAAGTGGTTCTGTTAATTTCCTACTTTGCAAAAAAATAATATAGCTCAGGCTGCAATCCATAGAAGTAGCAGAGTCAATAAGTTTCAAAGACATCAAACGCATTTCTCCACGGGGAGGGTATGGTGCCCACTGTTGTTAGAGTAGACCAGGTAGCAGTGCTTACAAAAAAAGAGGGAAGAAATATTAATAGTCCTTCCAATTAGAGTGCTTCCTGAAGTCGAGAAGGAATGTTGAGCCAGAAGGACACGTCACAAATTCTGTCCTTAAACCTGTGGCATGGGAGAATAATGATCCTGAGGTAGTCCTCATGAAGGTCTTAACAAGCTTCGATATTATGCTCATTTCAGCTCTAAAAGAGTGGAGAAGCATATTCAGCATGTAACAAGCTACGGAGTATAATATAAGAAGGATCAATCAAATCCAGAGCTAGAAAGGGCACCATGCAGGTTAAAAGAGCATTTTATTTGCTGGGCAACTGAATTTAAGAACACCATGATTTAAAAAGCAGGCTTTAGAAAACCTTCAGTCACTGTTCTCAAGATCCTTATGATAGTCAAGGTGAAAATACAATATACAGAAGCAGTATATACCTGGAAAACAAATTTGTGGGACAAACAGAAGATCTCTTTCAAATCCTGCTTGTGAGAACCCCTGATGCATCTGGCCAACAGCTGTTAGAAACAGAAGGCGGGCCTGATCCATCAGGGCGATGCTTACATGGAAGGGACCACACATTGCAGCCAAACAACGTGCACAAGCAATTAAGGGCATGCAAATATGCAAGCAGAATGGTGGGTCATATGAGTGAGCTAAGGCATGCAGAATCCTCCTTAGCGGCTTGACTGAAGTGAGCAAGATCTACCCCTCCCCCAATAGCCATGACTACCAGAAAGGAGTAGCTAAGCAGACTATGATGTGTGCAGTGAGAAGCAAAGGGAAGAGACAAGGCCCCCAAATGCACAGCATTGCAAGAGAGAGAAAGCACCCACCATTGCGAACTGCAGGCACTGTCTCCAGCGACATTTCTGGCGCTTCAGATTCTGCCCACCAAACTTGGGCTTGTCACAGCAGAAGTCACAGCGGCCACAATCGGTCTTCAGGAGGCAAGCCTCACATTCACCACACTTCCGGTTCTGTCGGCTTTTGGACGCATGCTAATGGGAGATGGCAGGGAAAAAAATGAAAGGCCTCAAGAGAAGCAAAGAGAAGTCATGTGTGCTGTAAAATCCAGGGAGATAACCTGAACAATCTGGTTGCGTTCCCCCCCCCCCAAAAAAATAAACAATGACAAGGTCCTTACACAGAGGAACGAATGGAAGACTCTATCAAGAAGAGTAATTCTTGACTTCTGGCTTTCCAGATATTTTTTTACTTCACCTCCCAGAAGCCTCTGCCAGCCCAGACTATGCTCAATTCTTGGAAGACTGTCCCCAGAGAGTGCAGGTTGGAGAGAGTTTCTCAGCCCCATAGAGCCTCAATTGTGGGGTTCCGCAGGGCTCAATTATCTCTCCAATGCTTTTTAACATCTATATCAGCCACTGGGAGGGGTCATCAGGGGATGTTCTACATATCCTTTTTTCCAACGACAGTGGATGCCGTTTCATCCCTTGAGCGCTGCCTGGCGGCTGTTCAGCAATGGATGCAGGTGAATGGACTGAGGTTGAATCCGGGCAAGACGGAGCTCCTTCAGGGGAGTGTTCCAGACATCAGTGGTCTGGGAAACTCTCTTTCATTTGGGGGGGGGGTGACTCTTACCACCAAGAGTGAGGTTCGCAGTTTGGGTATACATCTGGACCCGGCACTCACCATGGAGACCCAGGTGTCATCACTGGTCCGTTCCACACATTTCCACCTTTGGCGGATTGCCCAGCTGCGTTCCTATCTTGATGTGGGGGCGCTCACCACTTTGGTCCATGCTCTCATAGTCTCAAGATTAGATTACTGTAATGCGCTCTACGTGGGGCTGCCTTTGAGACTGACACGGAAACTTCAGAAGGTACAGAATGCAGCGGCCAGAATTCTTACAGGGGTGAAAAGGTACCAACGTATTTCCCCCACACTGGCCACCTTGCATTGTCTACCCATTCATTTCCATGTTGATTTTAAAGTTCTTACGATTACATATAAAGCCCTAAGGGGTCTCAAACTGTGGCCCTCCAGATGTTCTTAGCCTACAGCTCCCAGAAGCCTTCAGCACCACCTCTGCTGGCCAGGATTTCTGGGAGTTGAAGTCCAAGAACATCTGGAGGGCCACAGTTTGAGACCCCAATGGTTTAGGACCTCGATATCTGGCAGAGCACCTTCTCCCACCCAGTTCTGCCAGTCACTTGTTCCAGCCAGGATGGGCAGCTGAGGGGCCTAACACCGAGGGGGGTCAGGAAGGAAAGAACGAGGAACAGGGCCTTCTCGGCAGTGGCCCCTCACCTTTGAAACAACTTGCCAGTGGAGATTCGCCTGGCTCCCTCTCTGGGTGTTTTCAGGAATAAACTTAAAACCTGGCTATTTGGGCAGGCTTTCCATCTTGCCATATCTTAATTTCTTATACTTTCACCACCTTGGATCTATAATATATATTTTTTGTTTTATTGTTTTTAAATTTGTAAACCACCCAGAGTAGACCTTTGGTCTAGATGGGTGGGATAGAAATCCAATCAATCAATCAATCAATCAATCAGTCAGTCAGTCAATCAGTCAGTCAGTCAGTCAATCAATCAAATCAAGGGTACTGGAAATTGAAGTCTAAAATATTTGGAGGGCCAACAGTTAGGAAGAGCTCTTCAAAGGAAACCCAAAGGACAACCATGCCATTTGCACTGGTACTTTAGCTTTTATAAGACTTTGTGAAGTTTGAGGTGGGCATCAGGAGAAGAGTAGAAAACTGATTTGGTGGTGAACTACAGCTAGAAAGTGGAATTAATCAAGATCCAGGAAGCAACTTATACTGTTTTTAAGTTGCTTCCTGGATCCTGACTATAACTGCACTTTCTAGGAGCAATTCGACTCCAATGCCCCACTCGTATCATTATGAAGTAGCCAGCTATATCATTCTTTTTGTTACTATACAGTGGTGCCTCGCATTATGACGTTAATTCGTTCCAGCGAAAACACTGTAGAAAAACGTCGTAAAGTGAAAATAAAAAAGCCATTGAAACGCATTAAAACCTGGTTAATGCATTCCAATCGGCTAAGAACTCACCGTCCAGCGAAGATCCTCCATAGGGGCGGCCATTTTCGGGTGCCTGTGCAGCGAAAAATGGCTCCTAAACACAATGGGGAGCCATTTTGAGCACCCGGCCGCCATTCTGAAAACCTGACAATCAGCTGTTTTGATCGTCGGGAAGCTAAAATCGGTTCCCAAAACAGGGAACCAATCATTATGCAGCAAAATTCCCCCATTCAAAACGTCATTTTGCGATCGCAAAAACCTTGCCGTAATGCGGATTCGTCGTTAAACGGAGCGCCCATCTTGCGAGGCACCACTGTACTAAACAATCAATGGGAAAGTAGCAGAGGCGTCCAGAGGACTATCAGCATGAGTATCCAGAATCTATGTAGAGAGTACAGTATATATACTCTGAATGTTACTTCTGCAATGCAACTACAGAATGCAGTTGAAGTAAAATCAGTTAGAAGAAATACTGTCAGATTTCTGCAACAGAAATACAGTGCAAGCCATTCATCAATTAAACACATGGGGGCCCATAACTAGTTTTCAAACACCCTGTGCCTTTCTGTTCCTTCGTATCCTTTTTTACAAGCAAACTGCTACAGCACATGCATTCTTGGCTTAATAAATAATAAACTCTCAACTGTTTTGTTGCTTTCCCTGTCTCTTTCTAGAGCAAAAAGCTAAGTTAGCGGCTCAGATTGGTTTCTTCCACCTCCAAGTCATACACTGTTGGGCCCACAGAATGGGATGTTGCAGCTGCTCGCTATCTCTCATCTTACTTCACCTTCCTATACTACACTGGTTCCCAAAGTTAAATCTGTTCTCCTTTTACTCAGAGGCCCAGCTTTCTTGGTAGAGTCTACTGCTTCCCATCATGTACTGAGGAAGGAAGAGGAAAATTAAGGTATTCTATTGGCATGTGCACATCAGTTAGTAGTTTTACGTTCAGGGCCTGCTGCCCAGAAACAGTATTTAGCTATATCTAAAACAAAGGCATGTCAGTAAACTAAAATGTCAGTGAACTAAAATGGATGGGAATGGGCAAATTCAATTCAGATGATTACCATATCTACTATTGTGGGCAAGAGTCCTGTAGAAGAAATGGAGTAGCCTCATAGTAACAAAAGAGTGGGAAAATATGTACTGGGATACAATCTCAAAAATGATAGAATGATTTCAAGACAAATCCAAGGCAGACCTTTCAACATCACAGTAATCCAGGTTTATGCACCAACCACCAGTGCTGAGGAGACTGAAATTGACCAACTCTATAAAGACTTACAACACCTTCTAGAAGTGACACCAAAGAAAGATGTTCTTCTCATTATAGGGGACTGGAATGCTAAAGTAGGGAGTCAAGAAATAAAAAGAAGAACAGGTAAGTTTGGTCTTGTTCAAAAGTTCAAAAAGAAGCAAGGCAAAGGCTAACAGAGTTTTGTGAAGAGAACAAGCTGGTCATCACAAACACTCTTTTCCAACAACACAAGAGGCAACTCTACACATGGACATCACCAGATGGGCAATACCGAAATCAGATTGATTATATTCTCTGCAGCCAAAGATGGAGAAGCTCTATACAGTCAGCAAAAACAAGACCTGGAGCTGATTGTGGCTCTGAACATCAGCTTCTCATAGCAAAATTCAAGCTTAAACTGAAGAAAGTGGGAAAAACCACTGGGCTAGTCAGGTATAATCTAAACCAAATCCCTTATGAATACACAGTGGAAGAACAGATTTAAGGAACTAGATTTGGTGGACAGAGTGCCTGAAGAACTATGAATGGAGGCTCATAACATTGTATAGGTGGCAACCACAAAAACCATCCCAAAGAAAAGGAAATGCAAGAAAGCAAAGTGGCTGTCCAACAAGGCCTGACAAATAGCAGAGAAGAGAAAGGAAACAACATGCAAGGGAGACAGGGAAAGTTACATAAAATTGAATGCAGACTTCCAAAGAATAGCAAGGAGAGCCAAGAGGGCCTTCTTAAATGAACAGTACAAAGATATAGAGGAAAATAAGAGAAAGGGAAAAACCAAAGATCTGTTCAAGAAAATTGGAGATATTAAAGGAACATTTTGTGCAAAGATGGACATGATAAAAGGACAAAAATGCTAGGGACCTCACAGAACCAGAAGACATCAAGAAGAGGTGGAAAGAATACACAGAGGAATTATACCAGAAAGATCTGGATGTCCTGGACAACACACATAGTGTGATTGCTGACCTTGAGCCAGACATCCTGGAGAGTGAAGTCAAGTGGGCCTTAGAAAGCCTGACTAACAACAAGGCCAGGGGAGGCGATGGCATTCCAGTTGAACTATTTAAAATCTTAAATGTTGACATTGTTAAGGTGCTACACTCAATATGCCAGCAAGTTTGGAAAACTCAGCAGTGGCCAGAGGATTGGAAAAGATCAGTCTACATCCCTTTCCCACGGACACGACTTAACAACTAAACAACAACAAAACAAAGGCTGTGAAAAAGAGAAATATATTTACCACGCTCTTCTTCAGCTTGGCTGAGGGATGTTTGGGAGGGTGACCCACCATCTTTCTTTCTTTCACTGCTTCCAGCTGCTTCTTCTGCAGGGAAGAAAAAAAGATGATTAGTTCTTTAAACCTATCTATTCTCTACGTTATCTTTCCCCCAGCAGAGAGACTCAAGACAAGCCTGCAAAGGTACTAAATAAAATCCCTTCAAAACCATTTTAGAAGAGAAAAAATATAACTCCCCAACCCTTAAAAGCCCTTCTTGAGCAGCAATTTAGTGATTAAAACCTTGCCTGAGAAAAAAGGTCTTTGCCTGCTAGCAAGAGGGCAGCAGGGAGAGGACCAGCCTGGTTTCCCGTAGAAGGGATTTTTGTACTTTGTACCTGGGACCAGCCACTTAAAAAGGGTCCTCTCTTGTGTTTGCACCAAGCAGGCTTGTGAGGGCAATGGGACTGAGAGAAAGCCCCCTGCCCACCCCCGAAGATCTTAATGCCTGAGAAGGCTCATATGGGGATACTGTATATGGACTCTTGGCCAGGACCAAAGTCATCAAAGACTTTATAGGAAAAAAAGGATTTTTGAATTGAGACCAGAACTGGACCAGGAGTCACCAAAAGCTGTAGTCAGAAGAATTTCTATTCTCCCTACAACCAGCTCTAGTCAGGAAACTATCCGCTGCATCACAGGCCCGCTGAAGGTCCCCAAATCCCGTGTGTGGGTTCTCAGCAGGCTCTAAGAGCTGCTGGGGGAGCCGGCAGAGAAACTCCCTTGCACTGGCAGGAGACTGAATCTCCCAAGGTGCTCATCCAGGAACCCCAATGACAAAAGTAGCCGCTGTCACTTTGCACAATCACCTTTCCAAATATTACCCATGGGGAGACTGTTCAAAGTTAGCAGCTTTTTCTGCTGCTAAGCCCTGACCAAAACCTGAACTGGATCTCATTTGTTTCTTTAATTCAATAACTTATCCCCTTCAGCAAATGAGTCAGCATTAGTAGTGGTTTTCTGAAATTAGATATTCCCACAGCCCCTAATAACTGCCACATGAGGAAAGGGGATCCACAGAAGCAGGGCTGCTGATGTGGTCAGGCTTATGTGGCCAAAGCTAAAGCAACAGGATTTCAGCCAATATGAGATTCCTCGTGCAGGTTAAACCTGTGCTACTCTGCAAGGCTTTATCAGGTCTATGAATAGGGTAGCCTCACTACCCATCACTGTCCCACAGAGCAATGAGGCGATTCCCAGGAAGCTGCGCAGCTGAAGAACCATGTCCTTCTACTTCCAAATTGATACAGAAGGAAAGAAGCGCAAGGTGGAGGTTAAAAGACTTCTGTTTGATTTCTGGCTTCAACTCTCCTGGTGCCGGTCATCTGCCTGGAGGGTTCTAAGTGGCTTTTGGGACTGGACATCCTGGAATTATGAAAATTCCATCATAACAACATCCCACAACAAAACCATTGAGAGGCTTCTCTCTCTACTGCGCACTTACCTTACTCTTTGCAACAGAAACATTTCCAGGATCTCGCTCCATAGTAGGTTTCCATTTCTAGAGTGAGAAGAGAGATGAAGAAATAGTGCAATCAGCAAACAGAAATAAAATTTGCTGGGTTTGGGCATGCAAGGACCCCATATATTAGCAAAGAAAAGGCTGAGACAGCAGCCAGGATAAGATGAGATCTAGGCAAGGCTGACGTAACTCGTGTAACACAAACAGCTTGCTACATTCAACTCTGAACCAAGATTCAACCGAGCACAGAGAAGAAAACATCATCATCAGTGTTCTGAGAGACTATGTCAGATAAAAGTAAGAAAAACGGCTATTCAAGTCATGCGATCCCCACTGGTTTTATAACTTCACAAAGACAGAATGTCACGCAGCACAACATGAAGGCCTGAAAACAAAATCTTTTTTCCCCATAGGAGTTTTACAGTGTAAAAAGCAGATGTTTGGGGAAAACTGTGGGGGAAATTCTGAAATCACTTATATTTTGACCCATTCAAACGCAGAGGATAACTTTTTTGCATAAAATAATTTGTACAACTAAAAGAGAACTCCAATACATAGTGGAGAGCTCAATGTTGTTATGAAGTTCAACTGGAAATCTAAACATGTGGCTAGTCCTTAATATTGTGATAGCTCCACCTAAATTAGGCATGTTATTTTGTTTATAACAAAACCTGGAGTTTTACTTGAAATTCCTTGTCCTCTTCATGAATTATACTAGCAAAGATACGCCAATGGAGACAAGGCCAACCCCCTTCCTCTTGTTCCAGCAGGCAAAGTGCTTGTTCTTCAAACAGGCTTTTGGGAATTGGCTGGTTCCTAGGGATCGGTCTTATAATTTGGCAAAATGGCTGTATTCTCTGGTTCTAAAATGTTATAGTTATTTCTACATATTCAAAAAAAAAAAGCTTGGGAAAATTTAGAAGATTATATAATAGATCTAGAATCCAAGGCCCTTAGAGCTCATGTGATATTAATGGGGGATTTTGATGCAAGAATCAGCACTGATTGATTATACATTAATTTCCTCTTCTCTATCTAGACTGGCCAAGGATTCTGAGTTGGAAATCCAATTGACTGCTCACAGGGCTTTTGAACATCAATATAGTGGTCAAACTTTAACACAAGAGATAAACATTTGCATTGGTCAGAAGTAATAAACATTAAACTTACCAGCCTATTAAAATCTACTTTGGGGTGAAGAATTAAAAACTTTAGTTTTAGCAACAGCCAAAGCTACCACAGTCCTACATAATCACTTCTCATTGGTTTCAGTCTTAAAAGTATGTCCTAAGCCCAAAACAACTTCCCTTAAAACGTGATTTAAGCAAGATGTTTGACACTTGGAATGTTTAGTAGGTAAAGTCTCAAGAATACTAATTCATAAAATGTATAGGCAAAAATAAATAAATAAATAAAAGAACAAATACAAAAGACATAAATATGATGACACCTTAAAGACTAACTTATATTTTAATGTGAGCTTTCATGAACAAGTCCACTTCCTCAGACATAAGAGAAAGAGACATAGCACGGTAAATATTTATACATGGCATCAAAATACACCAATCAAAATATGCTCATAAAAGAGCATAATAAAACATAATTAGCTCAAAACAGAAGAAAGCAGCACAAAACCAAAAAGAGTTACGAACAGATTCTGCTTTAAATAGTAACTAAACTTCTGAGCCACTGGGTGTCGATCAAGAAGCTGACAGTTCAAATCCACGCGGCAGAGTGAGCTCCCGTCGCTAGTTCCAGCTCCTGCCAACCTAGCAGTTCAAAAGCATGTAAAAATGCGAGAAGATAAATAGGTACCACCTCGGTGGGAAGGTAACAGCATTCCGCGTCTAATCATGCTGACCACAGAAAGTGTCTATGGACAAGCACTGGCTCTTCGGCTTACAAACCGGGATGAGCACCAGCCCTTAGAGTCGGACACGACTGGACTTAATTGTCAAGGGGAATATTTACCTTTAAAAGCAAAAGCAAAGCAAACATGCTGCTTATATACCGCCCCATAGTGCTTCCAAAAGCATGTAAAAATGCGAGAAGATAAATAGGTACCACCTCGGTGGGAAGGTAACAGCATTCCGCGTCTAATCATGCTGACCACAGAAAGTGTCTATGGACAAGCACTGGCTCTTCGGCTTACAAACCGGGATGAGCACCAGCCCTTAGAGTCGGACACGACTGGACTTAATTGTCAAGGGGAATATTTACCTTTACCTTTATTCTGGGCATTAGTTACAAGTGGTCTGGGTGACTCCTCAGGCTCTGTTAGCTACAACATTACTCATGTTTGGAAGCACTATTTCTCTAAAATGTTTGCTGAATCAAGAGCACCACCAATGAATTCAATTGTTTTGGACACAAACAACCTGACCAAATGGGACCCGGTAACCGTGGCTGAAATAAAGACCTTAATCTCTTGTCTGGAAACCAGAAAGGCCCAGGAACAGCTATAATCTCACCCAAAATTCTGAAGGCACATAGAGACTGGTGGACTCCAATCTTGGTACACTTATTCATATCAACAATACTGGACAGCTTCCCCTGACCTGGAGAAAGGCTAGAGTGATTCCAAACTTGAAAAAAAAAAAAAGGCAATCGGAAGGAACCTTCAAATTACATATTTATCAATTTCTTGTCAGTAGGGGGCAAATTATATGCCAGATATTTAAAAATCAGACTTCCCACCTGGAACAAGGAAGAGAATATTCTGGGGCATTAACAGGCAGGTTTCAGGAAAGGCTGCTCAATCCTTGACCACTATTTAGTACTTAGCTATCAAGTAAAGAAATATATGAGCTCCTATGGGAACACGTTTGTAGGCTTTAAAGACTTGAAATTGGCTTTTGATTCAATTCCAATGAATAAATTGTGGAATAAACTATATCTTTCTTCAATTGATAAAAGACTGCTTTATCTTATTAGATGCCTTTATCAACATATTATAATTCGAGTAAGGTGTGACGTGAAGGGTAATCTGATAAATCCTATTCTTACTACTGGGGGGGGGTTGTTCACTAAAGCTGTGTATTAGCCTCCACAAAATTTAATTTCTACCTCAATGACTTGATCAAAAACTCTTAGCATTAGAATTGTGCAGTTCCCAAACTGGCAGAGACCAAAGTGCCTTTGTTTCTATAAGCAAACAATGCTGTTCTTATAACAGTCTATCAGTCTTCGGTGGATTTTACATGTTTTCATGGACCATATTAAAGATAATTTGCTAACAATCAATTTCAGGAAAAGCAAACTCATTTTTTTCCTAGATGTAAATGAGTGAATAACAGATGGACAGCATATTGAACAGGCTAAGAAGTTTAGTTACTGGGGCATTGTTTTCCTCCTCTTTTCTTGGCCCAGCCATAGACAAGTCTGCAGTCCAAGTGGCACAGAACAGAAGTAAAGCCATTCTACAGGCCTTTTTTTCCACCAAGGGGACACAGTTCATCCCTGCTACATTACAAGTAGCTAATGCAAAATTCTGTCTCAGCTGTTATATGACAATGAATTCAAAGTTTTAATTCAGCTGTTGAACATGTGCCCTCAAACCTTGTGTGTGTGTGTGTGTGTTTGTGTGTGTTTATGAAGGGTCTAGATTCAAATGTGATTGTGGTTCCAGAGAACTCACTGCTTTCAGCAATTTCCCCCAAATTTGGTTTCACAACTTTGGGAGTCCAATGGTTCATTATGTACTGTATACATTTTTTAATACATGTCAGTTAAAACACTCATCTATGGCTCGTCAACAAAAAGCAACTTGCCTTCAACACCTAAAACTATCAAAAAGCAGAAAGAACAGCCAGAAACTCAACAA